CTGCATGTGTAATTCATATCCCATGCATATTTAGTTCATATTGAATGCATGGTACTGGATGCATATTTACTTCATACATATGATGCATATTAGGGGTCAACGAGTCAACGCCGGAAGTCAACGGTCAACGTCGGAGTCAACGCCGGAAGTCAACGGTCAACGTCGAAAGTCAACATTTTTTGCTGGAAGTCAAAGGTCAACGCCGGAAGTCAACGGTCAACGCCGGAGTCAACTAATAATTATTTTATTATTTAATTAATATATATTTTAAGAAGTGGACTCATTTTAAGGAGTGTACTCATTTTAAGGAGTGTACTCATTGGATCCTCCCCCTATATATATATATATATATATATATATTAAAGCAAAGCAGCTCAAAATTTCCCTCCAAAACTACATTTAATACATTGTAATAAATTGTATCAATTTCTATGCATGATTTATCAACAAAAAATATTTATGTCATTTAAACAATTAATTTATTGGAATTTGCACTCCAATTTTTCTTGACTAAATAAATGCTTTAACTACATCTATTATCATGAAATAAATTTTGTTAATTTCTATGTATTATTTACTATTCAAACAATATCATAAATATGTGTTACAAATAAATACTACTTATTTTAGTCATAATCAATTATTATACAAATTCTTATTATGTTTTTTTTCCGTAATCAGTTATTTGTTTAAAATAATCTTTAATATTATACATATATATTTATTATGAATTCTCATCCCGATATCTCACTTATTATTTGTCTCTCTTCCTGTTTGTGAGTATGAGTTTTTTCCTTTTACAATATATTTTTTTTATAATAATAAAAATTAAATCTTATTTAAGTAATCACTAAAATAAAATTTCAAGTCAAATATTTTATTTAATTATTATTTTTATTAGAACATCAAACACAATATTATGTTTTCGGTTATATTGTGTATATTTCAAGGTAAAATAGAAAAAATCATAACTAATATGATATTTATATGTAACATAAAAAACAAATATTTTTATAGTTTTTAATTTGACATCTATATGCATACATATAGATAAATTTTTAGATTTGATATGTCAATTTAAATTCGTCATTGTTTATTTTAACATATACATGTTCATATATTTTCATAAAAATATGTAATAGTACATTTGAAACATCTACTCTATATTGATGGAATTTACATAAAGAAAATATGTAACCATCTCTTATTAATTTAATATTGTATTATTTTATATGATTATATAATTCTAAAAAATTACAAGTGATCATTAATTTATTTGTATTGAGTACCTCATTCCAAAACATGTTCTTTTTAATTTAAATTGTAAAATATCTCATCATTCACAAATTCTGATGTGAGTTGAAGTAAAAGTTAGTCAAGTCAACGTGTTATTCTCTTTTAACAAAAATGTGAATTTAGACCTCCAAATTTCATACTTTGTTTATTTTATTTTATTATAATTTCTTAAATAATAAATAAAATACAAATAGAGTGAAATAAAAAATAATGATGTTATACTTATCATATATAACATAATTTCTTCGACTAAAAGAAACGTATTTTTCAAGAAAAAATATCATATCCATATGAAATTAATCTATAAAATGTTAGAATAACCTTCACTTGAGTAAAAAAAAAAATGGTAACATAAAGAGTGAGGGGTCTCAACAACAATAAGAGAGTTAAAATAAGTATTTATATAGTTTTGACTCACAAGACAAAATGATCATATTGACTGAATATATCTGATAACCATTTATTTTATTTAATTCATTTGATCAAATTGAGGTTATATAAAAGTTGGTATGGTCATATTGATTGAATATATCTGATAACCATTTGTTTTATTTATTTCATTTGATCTTAAATTTGAGGTTATATAAAAGTTGGTGAAAAGTGACAAGGCTTAATTTTATAATAAATACAGAATTATACAACTAAAAATTTTATAATAAAAGTAGCATAATGTGTCAATTATTGTTTAACTTTTGTTTATAAACAAATCTTTTTTTTTTAATGAGAGAATGATGAGAGTATATTATCGCAACTGAATGTTGTAGGGATAAAGTTAAACACAACTTATTATAATGAATCCACTACTTTTTCTTATCATATATCAAAATGTTTATTTCACAATAATCTGTTTTTAATATATTTTATATAATATAATTTAGATTTATTTTCGTATTACTTTACAAAAAAGTTTGTCAATTTTTATTTCTAAAAATTACACTGAATTATCATTTTCACCAATTTCCTGGAAAAATAAGTACTTAATATCTTACAGTTCTCATTAATTTCATGCAATAATACTAATAATAATAATAATAATAATAATAATAATAATAATAATAATAATAATAATAATAATAATAATAATAATAATAATAATAATAATAATAATAATAATAATAATGCAAGTGTAAGCGTCCGGGTCCGGTTTGGAGTAGATCGGTTCTTGCCCTCGCCGGTAGAACGCCGGAAACCTGCAAATAACTCTCACACCGGGGGTTGGATCCGGTGAAGAGCCTTCGATGCTTAAGTCAGTATGTGTATGAGTATACTGGATTAAGAGAATGAATAGAATGTGTTAAGGGATAAAGGCTCGCCCCCTTTATATAGGGGCGAGATACCTGCCCTAATAGCTGCCCGGATAAGGTGAGTTGGCTGCCCAAGCTGCCCGTCCGTACTCTGGCACGCCGCGCACATGTCAGAGGTGGCGCAGGGCGTTGGGGGTTGTCAGAGGTGGTTTCCACCATCACCCAATACTTTATCGACACGTGTTTTCCCAGCACATGGGCTGAATATTCTCTGAAGATTTCGGTTAGAGGCTCTTACGCGTGCCTACGGTACACGCGCTCACAACTAGGTCGATTACAGGTTCCTCGATGTGATCGACCTGCTGAGGTCGAGTGGCTTGCTCGATCATGTGTCTGGTCGATGCATCTGGTCGATTATCTGAATATTTGGCCTTCCCGCCCCTTTCGGTTTGTTTCTCCTCTGTTCAGCTTCCCCGACCGGCCAAGCAGGCCGGTTTATCCTTGAGTATATAATATCCCATATCATCTAGTCCCCCCCACTCTGTTCAAGTGTGAATGACTCGATCTAAGAGTGAATT